TCCTCCTCCTCCTCTTCCTCCTCCTCCTCTTCCTCCTCCTCTTCCTCCTCCTCCTCTTCCTCCTCCTCTTCCTCCTCCTCCTCCCCCCTTATAGTTTGGACAATGTTATCTAGTTGGGTCAGGAAACCTCTGCGAGAAAACTCAGAGAGCACCAAGGACCCTATAGTCCTCCTCCTCCTTCTCCTCCTCCTCCTCCTCCTCCTCCCCACCCTCCTCACCTTGGGCACCGCCACCTGCATGGAGAAGTTCTCAATGTCTCCGGGGTTGGTGTTGGTCACCGTGGCCGTGATCAGCAGCAACGTGGGTTCCCGTGGCGCCCGACTCATGCAAAACTCCAGCAGCAGCCCGTTCTGTTTGCAGACCTCCATGCGGGAGGGGGCGGCCTCTGCGGAAAAGGCGGTTTGTTTCAGAAAAGGTGGGTCTGGTCCAGACCGATGCAGAGTTAACCAAAGTTAACCAAGGAGAGAAGCAACCTGGAACTAAGGAGAAACTTCCTGACAGTTAGAACAATTAACCAGTGGAACTACCTGCCTCCAGAAGCGGTGAATGCGCCAACACTGGAGGTTTTTAAGAAGAGACTGGACAGCCATTTGTCTGAGATGGTGTAGGGTTTCCTGCCTGAGCAGGGGGTTGGACTAGATGACCTCCAAGGTTGTTCCACTGGTTAATTGTTCTAACTGTCAGGAAGTTTCTCCTGAGTTCCAGGTTGCTTCTCTCCTTGATGAGTTTCCATCCGTTGCTTCTGGTCCTGCCTTCAGGCGCTTTGGAGAATAGCTTGACTCCCTCTTCTTTGGGGCAGCCCCTGAGATACTGGAACACTGCTATCATGTCCCCCCTCGTCCTTCTCTTCATTAAACTAGACATACCCAATTCCAGCAGCCGTTCCTTATGTTTTAGCCTCCAATCCCCTAATCATCTTTGCTCTTCTCTGTACTCTTTCCAGAGTCTCAACATCTTTTTTACATCGTGTTGACCAAAACTGGATGCCGTATTCCAAGTGTGGCCTTACCAAGGCCTTGTAAAGTGGTATTAACACTTCAGGTGATCTTGATTCTGTCCCTCTGTTGATGCAGCCTGGGATTGTGTTGGCCTTTTTGGCAGCTGCAGCACACAGCTGGCTCCTATTTAAATGATTTTTCCACTAGGACTCCGAGGTCCCTCTCACAGTTACTACTATTGAGCCAGGTACCACCTATACCAGGGGTAGGCAACCTTGGCTCTTTCATGACTCGTGGACTTCAACTCCCAGAATTCCTGAGCCAGCGTGGCTGACCTATACTATACCTGTACATTTGGTTTGTCTTGCCTAAATGTAGAACCTCACTTTTCTTTGAAGACGTTTCGCTTCTCATCCCAGAAGCTTCTTTGGCTCTGAGTGGACGGTGGGGAATGGAAGGACTTATACTCCTTTACAGACAGAGCTGGTCATTTGCCTTCTTTTTAGAGAGTCCTTGAGGCCACTTGGAGGTTTGTCCCAAAGGTGCTTTTTCAGGAGGGAACTGGACTTTCTTGTTTTTCTTTGAAGACATTTCGCTTCTCATCCCAGGAGCTTCTTCAGCTCTGATTGGATGGTGGGGAAGGGAAGGATTTATACTCCTTGCAGACAGCCGGTCATTTGCATTCTTTTTAGAGAGCTGTTGAGGCCACTTGGAGGTTGAGTTGTGTCCTCGGGATCACCTGACTGGTGCAAACACAGGGGCAGAAAACATCCTGTCGCCAAGAAGGCTGCACACCCATTTGCACCCCTCAGGTGACCCTGAGGACACAGATAAACCTCCAAGTGGCCTCAACGACTCTCTAAAAGGAGGCAAATGACCAGCTGTCTGCAAGGAGTATAAATCCTTCCATTCCCCCACCATCCAGTCAGAGCTGAAGAAGCTTTTGGGATGAGAAGGGAAATGTCTTCAAAGCATCAGAAGAAAGTTCCATGAGGACACAGGTAAACCTCCAGGTGGCCTCAACGACCCTCTAAAAGGATGCAAATGACCAGCTGTCTGCAAGGAGTATAAATCTTTCCGTTCTCCATCATCCAGTCAGAGCTGAAGAAGCTTCTGGGATGAGAAGCGAAACATGTTCAGAGAGAGAGAGAGAAAAAGGAAGTCCAGTTGTCTCCTGAAAAAGCATCTTTGGGACAACCATGGCCTGGATGACGGAGAATCTCCGTAGCTCTTTGCTTAATAGATCCCTCTTATTCTACCTGGAGTTTTTAGATCCTGAAGCAAACCAAGAAGAGATCCTGTTCCCGAATGGGCTGGCTTGGATGGAGCCGGAGATGTATCGACAGGTTCTCCAAGGAGGTCCAAGAGATCGAAGACCTAGACAGAGAAAGACAAGAACAGAAGGACAGAGTCGGAAAGGGACCTCAGAGGTCAGCTAGTCCAACCCCCTGCTCAAGCAGGAGATTCTGTAGTATACCATTCCAAGATAAATGGCTGCCCAATCTCTTAGAAACCTCTGTTTGTTGGCGATAAACAGACCAAAAAGGAAATCGTTTTAATTTCCGAGCAAACCACGATTCGTGATCAGAACGACTGCCACAAATCCTGATCGTCAGTCGTGGTTTGCTCAGCTTTTTGGGTGACCTCGAAACCCATTCCTTCTGCTGGACGCAAGGAAGAAAAAAAGAACAAGTTGTTTCTCAGCCTTGGCAACTTTAAGAAGCACGGACGTCAACTCCCACAATCCCCCAGGCTGGCTGGGGAATTCTGGGAGTTGAAGTCCCCTCCGTAACTGAGAAAAAAATGGTCCCAAGTCGCTTTATTCCTTGCCGTTGTAACTCCGGACGGTCACTAAATGAAACCGTTGTAAGCCGAGGACGACCTGTATCTTCCCAGCTGTTCTTTACAAGGACTTCCGTTTAACTTGGGCTAGTAATCACGGAGCAAGAGAAGAAATTAGGTTTAAAATTACATCCCTTCTAGCAATAATCAGATTGATACTGTATATGCCTCTTCCATTCAGGATTCGATGGCTTCGTCTGCCCCCTGCTGCCCAAAGCTGGGAACTGCATCTCCTACCTGGTTAGGTTCTTGCTGCTTGGGCTCTGTGGATGGCTCCCCCTGCAGGACGATTGGGGTAACAATCTCATTTCCATTCTGATCTGTTTCGTGGCTCTCCTTGTCCTCACCAAATTTCTCCACCACGGGCATTTTTTCCAGTATGGATGCTCTGGATGAGGAAGGGAAAACGGGATGGCTGAAAATGTCATTTTTCAGCCCACAAGACAAGGTGGGGAGGATGGTGCAAATGATTTGAATTACAGAGTAACAGAGTTGGAAGGGACCTTAGAGGTCTTCTAGTCCAGCCCTGCTCAAGGATTGGTCTAGACCAGGGGTAGGCAACCTTGGCTCTTTTATGACTCGTGGACCTCAATTCCCAGAATTCCTGAGCCAGCTGAGACATTTCCCTTCTCATCCCAGAAGCTTCTTCAGCTCTGACTGGATGGTGGGGGAACGGAAGGATTTATACTCCTTGCAGACAGCTGGTCATTTGCCTCCTTTTAGAGAGACGTTGAGGCCACTTGGAGGTTTATCTGTGTCCTCAGGGTCACCTGAGCAATGCAAATGGGTGTGCAGCCTTCTTGGCGACAGGATGTTTTCTGCCCCTGTGTTTGCACCAGTCAGGTGATCCCGAGGACACAACTCAACCTCCAAGTGGCCTCAACAGCTCTCTAAAAAGAATGCAAATGACCTGCTGTCTGCAAGGAGTATAAATCTTTCCCTTCCCCACCATCCAATCAGAGCTGAAGAAGCTTCTTGGATGAGAAGCGAAACGTCTTCAAAGAAAAACAAGGAAATCCAGTTCCCACCTGAAAAAGCACCTTTGGGACAAACCTCCAAGTGGCCTCAAGGACTCTCTAAAAAGAAGGCAAATGACCAGCAGTCTGCAAAGGAGTATAAGTCCTTCCATTCCCCACCGTCCACTCAGAGCCAAAGAAGCTTCTGGGATAAGAAGCGAAACGTCTTCAAAGAAAAGTGAGGTTCTACATTTAGGCAAGACAAACCAAATGTACAGGTATAGTATAGGTCAGCCATGCTGGCTCAGGAATTCTGGGAGTTGAAGTCCACGAGTCATGAAAGAGCCAAGGTTGCCTACCCCTGGTCTAGACTCTAGATCTTTCTTTGCTGGCATCAGTCAGGCGTATGAATGGTTGGTGCGATGTTTCTCAACCTTGGCTGCTTTAAGATGGGTAGGCTTCAACTCCCAGAATTCCTCAGGGTGTCTTGCATGGCTGGGGAATTCTGGGAGTTGAAGTCCCCCCATCTTGAGGTGAACAGAATAATTACTCAAATTTGTTCAAAGTCAAAAGCATTCCCCTTCCCTGGATGCCAGAAAATTAACCCAGAGTCTCCCTGCTGATTTAAACGGAAGGGATCCCATCTTTTTAAATGGGAGAATTTAGTTTTTTTAAACTGAGCCCAAAGCATACGATGCCATGAGGGTTTCTGGGAGTTGAAGTCCACCCATCGTTCTCAGCTTTGCCAAGGTTGAGAAATATGGCTAACTAAACTAAACTAAACCAAAATCCAAAACCTAAAATAAAATAATAAAAGAAACTATCAAATAAACAATAAAATAAAATAAACTATCAAATAAATAAAATGAAATAAAATAAACTATCAAATAAATAAAATCAAATAAACTATCTAATAAATAAAATAAAATAAACTATCAAATAAAATCAAATAAACTATCAAATAAATAAACTATGAAATAAATAAAATAGAATAAACTATGAAATAAATAAAATAAAATAATATATCAAATATATAAATAATAAAATAAACTATGAAATAAATAAAATAAAATAAAATATGAAATAAATAAAATAAACTATCAAATAAATAAAATAAACTATCAAATAAATAAAATAAAAAAACTATCAAATAAATAAAATAAAATAAACTATCAAATAAAAATAAAATAAAATAAAATTGGGCTCTTCTGATTTAAAAACAAATCAGGTTTCTTGTCCTCATTGTGTCTGCTGCTTTGGTTTGGCAGGGATTTTGGGATGAAGGAGGGTAAAAGGATTAGGAAGAAATGACATAAGCCCTAATGATGACGAAAGAGTAAGAAGGGCTTCCAAAGAACTATAAAAGCCCTCCTTTCCTTGTGTCCATCTGTACAGTTTGTTCCCGCAAGGCAATGAGGACTAGTAACTTAGGGATTTGTTTGCCCCCCTCCCCCCACGCACTAAGAATCATTGGGCTTTTGATGGACTGGACCAGCTAACAAGTACCTGAGGTGATCGTATTTTCGGAAAAGGGTGTTGTACTCCACGGCTCTCTGTTGTAATTCCACATCGTGGCAGCTACAATAAATGGAGACCAAACTCCGGATCCGGCTTTTAATTGGGGAAGAGGAGAGGGAAAAAAAACGAGAGAAAAGAAAGTTACTCTCTCTGTTTTCTTCTTGATATGTCACCCCCTAAAACCCTACTCCCCGGCAGTTTACAGGTAGTCCTCAACTTACGACCACAGTTGAAACCGGTATTTTGGTCACTAAGCGATGCGGTCATGAAGTGAATGAGCACGTGACCAGACCCAATTTTTACAACCGTTTATACCATGGTCGTTAAGCGAATCCGGCTTTCCTCGTTGACTGCTTGTCCGGGAAAGTGACAAATTGCAGTCATGGGACCACAGGACACTGTGACCGTCGTAAAGGCGAGTCAGTTGCCAAGCGCCCGAAATACGGCCATGGGACCGTGGGGATGTATGCAGCCGTTGGAACTCCAAAACCAGGCCTGAAGTCAACACTGAGGAGCTCCATTGTAACTTCGAACGATCTCTAAGTTACCGGTCATAAATTGAGGACTGGCTGCACCTAACAGGGCCTGGTTATTTACCTGGGAATGACAAATTTGCGGCAAGAACAAGACTCGACCACAACTTTAAACCCACTTCAAACGGTGGTTTTTATTAACCAGCCCCAATTTTCAGTTCAATATGCAGCCCTCTGCAATCGTCACCGCTTTGGGCTTCGACTCCCATAATCCCCTGCCAGCTGGGGATTATGGGAGTTAGGGGTTTCCCGTTCTGAGCCAGAGAAAGGAGGGCAAGGGCAAGGAAATCGTAAAAGGGTTTATCCTACTGGGAAGCTTAAGCTGCAGTACTTCCAGGTGCCCACATGGTGGCGCTCTAACTTAAGAGAAAGGGTGCTGTGGCGCCCTCTAGTGTCAGAGGATAGAAAACTCACATTTGCTGGCCCAGGATGAAAATATTGTAGCCTTTGACTTACGAGTAGTTACTCAGCGACCGTTCGATTTTACAACAGGGTACTTACAACCCACTCCCAAGTTTTTAACAATCGGGATGGTCACTTAAGGACCAGGGTAGTCACATAATGACCCCAGCGGTCACTTAATGATCGTTGCAAAAAGGTCATAAAATCAGATCGATCGTGTGGATGACCCTTTTATGACCATCACAACTTACAACAATGATAAGCAGGTTCCACCAAGGGAACCATCACGTGACCACACAATAAGGAACCGACAAAACTGGGTTTGATTGCACCATGCATTAAAAAAAAACACCTAAGGAGCAAATTTTGCTTGTCCGGGATCAAAGATAAGATATATTTTTTTCCCACGCTCACTTAATGTCCGCGTCCTGGAGGCGTGTCCCGAGCTTCATGAGGGCGGTGAGGGCGTAGGCCCGGGTGGAGGGCAGGGACAGTTGTGACTGGAGGATGCGTTCCAGCAAGTTTAGCACATCCTCGGCGTCCACCTGAGAAGATAAAAAAATGAGGATACGGCGCTACGAAGATCAACAGCTATTGAGATTGTTGGCTGAGTAGGTACAAAAACAGCCTGGGAAATGATTGAAGCCTGAGGAACAGACCCCTCGTCAATCATTTACTTAGGAGGAGGGAGCTTGGCAGCACAAGGAAACAACAGCCAACGACTTAATTGCCAGCCATCAACCCCAACACAATCTACCTCTAAAAAGCTACACACAACGGGTACCGTACAAAAAACCACACTCAGAACAGCCCAAAGCACACGGAGAAGTTTCTGGGTTCCAGCACGACTCCGGAAGCTCGGAAGGCAAAAATCCCTGGTCCCGCTGATAGACCCAGATTGGATCCTGCAAAATTATCCCGGGATGCGTACATTCGCCTTCATTCGTGAGGATCCATTTCCCGTCGTGGATCTTTACCGCCGGATTTCGAACGCCTCACCTGTTGTGGTTCCACCTCATCACAATTCCCATCGAGCAGGAAGTGCCCGTATTCACCCAGGCACCAGGTTGCCACTTGGACCAAGGGTTGCTGCAGTGGGACACAAACGGAGGCAAAGGCACAATTGTTATGTCACATCCAGATAGCCCTCAATTTACGACCGTTCATTTAGCTCAAAAACGTGGTTTAGAACCCATTCCTTTTACTTACAGCCATCGCCCCTGCTGTCACCCGATCACAACTCAGCTCATTGGCAACTGGCACATATTTACAACAGTTGCGGCACCCCGGGATTTACACAATCATCTTTGGCGTTGTTGTTTTTTTAGCCCACAAACAAAAGTCAATGCGGGAAGCTGGATTCGCTTAATGACCCTGTGATTTTCTTAACGACTGCGGTGAAAAAGATCTATAAAATTGGATGTGCTCACAGGATGGAACCTGCCAGTTGTGACAGTCATAAAATGGGTCGATCTGATTTTATGTCCTTTTTGCGACTGTCACTGAGGAACCGTTGTGGTTTTTAAGTGACCGCCATGGTCCTTAAGCGACCACGGTGGTCATTATTGGAAGCACATTGTAAGTATCTTGGGGAGCTCTGTTGTAACGTTAAACCATCGCTAAGCGACCACTCGTAAGTCAAGGACTATCTGTACACATCCTGGGCAGAACGTATGTGAGTTTTCTCTCCTCTGACACTAGAGGGCACCATAACAGCCTTTTTCTCAGATTAGAGCACCACCCTGTGTGCAACGGGCAGAACTGCAGTTTTCAAGTTCCCAGCTTTCAGTGGGATAAACCCTTTTTTCCCTTCTTTGAGGTGCGATATATTGTTGTTAGGGTTCAGTCTTGGGTCTCAGACTCCCCAGGATAGATCAGGAACGTGCTAATCCCTCCTTTTTCTGTCCTGAAATGATTCCCACGATGATTGGTAGGTTTTACTCCGAGCAAGGCCTGCTGGGGACTGCAGCTTTGTTCCCTCGGCTTCGTGCCAAAACTCAACATAATTTTTAAGGCTGGAGAAAATGAAAAATACTCCTCGACGGATTCTGTAAGGGGCCAGACGTAAGCAAAACGAGAGGAGAGCGATTGTCTGCGCGGGCTTCTTTGCAAGCAATTAAATCTGGAGCTTGAAAACCCTTCCTAAAATATTTAATTATCCTGAGCTGCTTTTATGCTGCAGCAAGGGCATCTGGGGTCAAAAAAGTCAAAATGGCGGCCGAAAACCCACATTTAAGCACATATTCACTACTTTGATCTCCTGGACTGCACCATTATTGAAAACTAGAGGGGTGAATATGTCAATAACCATTATACTAACCAAAATCTTACAACAGTTCGTTTAGTGACCGTTCAGAGTTACGACGGCACTGGGAAAAAGGTGACTAATGACCCTTTTTCACAGTTACGTCGCAGCATCCCCATGGTGATAACAACCCAGATCCAGATGCTTGGAAACTGGCATGTACTTAGGACGGTTGCAATGTCCCAGGTCACATGATCCCCTTTTGCCACCTTCTGACAAGCAAAATCAACGGGGAAGCTGGATTCACTTAACAACCGTGTGACAAACTTAACGATTTGCCGCGATTCACTTCACAACGGTGGCAAAAAAAGGTCGTAAAATGGGGCGAAAAAAAATCACTTAACCGCTTTCTCGCTTAGGAACGGAAATTTTGGGTCTCAATTGTGGTTGTAAGTCAAGGACTACCTGTAGTTAAAAAAAATTGATACATGTTTGCTGCTGGATTAGTTCTCACGGGATATCACGCAAATGCCGAAACAGACACCTACCTGGGAGATATCTGGGGCCACTGCGCCGTAGAGCTGATGCACGGCGTAACTATGAAGCTCCTTTGCACCTCCAATCAGGTGGATGAGGTTGGGCACGGCATCATCCCGGATGTAGGAGCCTGCCTGCCAAGGAGACAGGAGGAACCGGGAAAGGGATATTTGATCCTCTTCACCTACTCTGACTTTTATCGCTCTCCTCCAAGGAGAAGTTTAAAGGAAGACCCGTAAGAAAAAAAAATCTACCTTGCCTGCGCTACAAAACACCACCTCTAGAGGGCAGCAGCAGATTCAAGTTATCTGCATTCCCTCTGCCACCTAGTGGACACCGGGGATCGTAGCACCCTCCTTGCTCTCACCATGATCAGAATCTGGAGGATGGTATCAATGTGCCACCGTTTGTTGGGTGCGAAGCTGTGGAAGGAAGTCAAAAGGCAGAAGAGAGCTCTTAAGATTCCTGCAGAGCTGGACGTGCTCGTCCTGCTCTCTACCGCCCTCTTGCAGGCAATGGTGGAACTGACTCACTTCTCGGCAGCCAGGAACAATCCGGAAGTGCACTCCGACTTCAGGTCCGGTGGGCTGCTTTCCATGAAGGTCAGCAACTCCTTAGTGGTTGTGCGAATGTTAGCGTGGTTGACCAGGGATAAACTCAACTGGAGAGCTCTCCTACAGAGCGGAAAAAAATAAATCAGAATTACGGTCTTCTGTCTCATCAGAAGTGGAGCCTTCTCCCACCTTCGGGCCTTCAGCTTACCTCTTCACCGTCGGGTCGGGATCCGTCAAACAACCGAGGACTGTGGTTCGGTGCCTCTGGACGGCATTGCTTTCCGTTTTCAACAATTTCTGGAGCGACGTGAGGGCCACGTATCTGAACATCAACGAAAAGGATAAAGCCAATCAAACGGATTTTAATCTTGTTTAATTTTGATTTTCTTTCTTTCTTTCTTTCTTTCTTTCTTTCTTTCTTTCTTTCTTTCTTTCTTTCTTTCTTTCTTACTTACTTACTTACTTACTTACTTACTTACTTACTTACTTACTTACCTGATATTCCTATCCTTGTTAAGGAGAAACCGCCCAAGGATATTTATCGCCAGAACCTACGTATGAAAAAAATAATAAAATTCAAGACATGCCTTTAATTCTTAAAATGAATCTGACGCAAAGGCGGGATTAGGAAAGCAGATTGAGTCAAGGAGAGTTTGTGCAACTACCCGACTCATGATTTTAGGAAGGCGATGCTAACGTCAGAGGGAATTTGGGGTTTGAAAAAGCTTACAATCCTTACAACACATTGCAATGCTCACAAACCTGGACTTACACACCAGGTGGGCTAAAGAGAGAAAGGCTGGTTGAAATCAAACACTAATGTTTGCATTGTGCAATTGTGCATTGTGCAACTTTACGGTACCCGCAATCCGCTGGTAGACTGTATCCCCATGATTGTCAGCACCGTTTCGTACAAGATGGCATTGCCCACGTTGCGTGTTGTTTCCGTGTTAGTTGCCACCTGGGTGAGAGAAGAGAGAAAGCATCACACCTCCAACCTCTTGGTTCTGTATTCTTTCTTTTTTT